ATATATATATATGTTTATATCTATATCTATATATATATATATATATATTTGTAACTATATATATATATATATATACATGCAACTGCAGAACCCAAAGGATCTCAAAACAATACCAATGTAGTACACACTCTTAGACTCTTGTTAGTGACAGAAACGCCTCCGTTGTATTGGGGCTTTGCAACCTTTCAGGGAATTCCATGGGCCCGCCGAATCCTCGGACCTTGAGCCCCAAGCCCTTGAAGTGCGACCCATGTCGCGAGTTTTAAGCACCTACCTTCTCGCAATCTCGAACCCAGCCGAACCCTAACATCCAACTCTCTGTTTGTGATTTCAGAAGAGTAGAAGCTTTCGATAGAAAGGCCCAGAAGATGTACTAAAAGCCTCCTCGCAGCATAGTGGAGACGGTTTTCATTGCTTTTCGGTGTGGGCAGGGTTTCGATGCAAACAGGATATGAGATGCAGTTTCTTTGGAACTGGTACATGGGCGTTGTGGATTAGATCTCGAAACCACATCGTCTCAACGTTGTGCTTGAGTCATCGGCATTGGCGCGTGTCGCAGCCAAACTGAAAATGAAGGCATGCAGTCCCTTTGTGTTATAGGACTTGCACAGGATGGGCCGAGGATTTGGATATAATGATATAGCGCTTGTGTTTTGGGGGTCAGGTGTGAACGATGTTTCTGCTTGAGACAAGCTCAGTCGCTCTTACGCATACACTGTGGAGTACTCGAAGTTCTCCTTTGCTCGTGGCTTCAAGACTCAGTCTTTTTCGGGGTTCGGGCTCATCAGAGTCACAGCCCTAACTGGCCCTGACAAGTTTGCACCGAGGTAGCTTACCTTATTGCTCCCCCCCAACCCTAAACCCTAAACATTTTTCCGCCCAAACCCCAGAACCCTAAGCCCAAGCAACCCCAGAGCATCTCGAAATCCTTGCGAAGACTTGAGCCTTTCAGGGTGTCAGCTCGGAGACTTTGATGCTGAATGCAAGTGGGTTCTCTAAATTAGGGTCCCTTTCAGGGGTCCTTTTTATAAGGGTGCCGTACTATACTGGGGACCTAAAAAGGGACCCTAGTTTAGAAACTACCCAAGTCGCCAGGTATTACATCGCAGATAAGATTATGGCGCCCTGGCACCGAAGCGAGTGTGGAAACGGATTTTTCAAGTGGGAGGTCTGGGCTGGCGGAGCTGAAGAAATTTCGTTGCAGGGGCTTCACTTTTTTGAAGCATCGTAGCATGGCTGAGCACGAGCTTGAGGATCACACATTAGAGATATAGATCTGCATCTTTATTTTTGGTAACAACGTGTCTAAACAAGATAATATATCGTATTCTCAAACCCTATTGTCTGAAGCGCTTCGAAAGCGTCTACCCGAAACCCTACCAAGATGCTCAGAGGCAATTCCTCCTTCCGGTGATCGTATTCCCTGACCCAGGATGCTGTAGGCTTTAGGGTTTATAGCATGTAGGGAGTTTTTTTCATAACCGGGTTTAGGGTTTAGAGCGTTTAGGGAGTTTTTATCATAGCAGGGTTTAGGGTTTATAGAGGTTGATCATCCTAGCATCCCCCGGAGAAGCCTGAAGCGGCACCCCGCCGTGAGCACGAGAGAGCGGGTTTAGGGTTTAGGGACCCTTTAGAGTTATAGGGCCGAGAATCCCGGAAGACCTTTGGCCCTAACCGTTACCGGCTCAAAGACGGCTCTACTTCATGGGGTTTGTCTCAGGAGATGACGATGGACATCTACGAGAGCACCCGCCACGTTGTAGACGACATCTCGGGTCTAGGCGTGCAGCTTCATGAAGTTCACGCGCCGGTACCGTAGCACCCGCCTTAAGGCGCACAGTGGATCCTGAATTTCAAGCTGCATTTCAATTTCTGGGGCCCGAACTCGCACTTTTTCAACCCCAGAGTCTCCAAATCTGAGCATCTCAGCCCCAGAATGGACATCAGCGTGAAGATATCGATTCCACCCTTCCTGCTCGACTTCCCCAAAAGCCCCAACGCCTCCCAAATCAGCCCGACAGACGTATGCATTCAACCCGAACTCCAAGGAGCCAAGAAACCTGCACCCTAAAGCCGATGGACCATTAACACGTCAACCCCCAACCCCACACCCCTAGATCAGCATCGCCTTGCAATTTGGAGATCTTAAGTTTATTTCTGGGCGCGGGATCCAGAAATTCATGAAGGGATCCGGATATGCGTTGCGGTGAGGGGGGTGTATATGTGAGCCCTCTTGTCCTTCACCTCAGTAGCTGTCCAAATACGAACAAGAAGGTGCACGGCTGCGATCCTATTGTTCCAAACGAACCCACAGAGCACATCAACAAGCCTCAAGAGTTTCGAGGGTTTAGGGTTTAGCGTCGTTCTTGCTTGCAAGCCTGCAGCAAAAGGGACCCTAAACCCTAAACCCTGCACCCTGGTTCTCAGCCATGCGAGAGGGAAGCAAAACCCTAGTTCATCGTGTCCGTGGATAACTGAAGTCTTGGTGTCCCGGGCTAAGCAGAGACTTGGATGTTGCGTGCCACTGCGCCACTCTTGCTAGGACAGGGAAGACGGAAAGGGAGAGATGAAGATTTGGAGGGAAAAAGCGCTGGGACCCAGACAAGTCTTTTGAGAGCCGTAGGAGTAGTCCAGCCTTCTTTTGGGAAGGCTTGCGGCACGTGGGATACGGCGTTCCCACCGAATATTTTCCGCCCATGGTTCAAGCCTACTGCGAGGCCGGCTGTGCCAATTTTACATTTGTCGAAAATAGACCTTTGACTAGAGCACACGAAGTCCTGAATGGTGTTTTCCGAATTCCTGAGTTGAGAAGGTAAACTTGCGCTCCTAGTGCCAAAGCATGCGCTTAGGTAATGCAGAGTGTGGAGATTTCGTTTGATCCTTCTTTTGTTTATTCTTTTTTGTCGCAATCGGGCACTGGAATTAATTCTAGGCTGTCTTTGCATGTCTATAGCTGTACGTATGTGTGTGTATGTATGTATGTATGTATGTATGTATGTATGTATGTATGTATGTATGTATGTATGTATGTACCATTTCTCTATGTGTATATATATATATATATATATAATATGTGTGTGTGTGTGTGTCTGTGTCGTCTGATGTACGGGTAGAGTTTCGGATTCTGCCAGCCTTGGGTTCGTTGCGGGTCATGCGACTCATTGGCACTGTCTAACGAAGTACGGGTTTAGGGTTTATGTCTCTGAGCTCAGGTGCCGAGTGGGCAACCTTGAACCTGTTGCAGATACCTTAATCCCAATAAATACCGACAGCGTAAGATTTCCGAACCGTAGTCAGTGGAGAGGTAACACAGTTCTACACGCTGCAGACCCTTCCGGTCGAGTCAATCGAGACAACGTCTGTGCATTCCAAAGGGCGTCTTTCCAGTGTCCTCTCATATCGACTGTTTCTGCAGAAGCAGAGACAGCTTCGTTGCTTTAAGCTTCGCTGCTCTAGGGTTTATGGGGGTTTAGGGTGTAGAATTTGGGTCGGGGGGACGTAGCTTGTAGCTTCTGTCGCACTCGCGGGGTATCCATCCGAGACAGCGTCGGGCTTGCCTCACCTGGAGTGTGTGTTTCTGAGCGCGGGACTACGGTGTACGTGGCAGGTCTCTTGCCGTGGCCAACGGGGAGCATGGTTTAGCATTGACAGAGAGATTATGCTCATAATATCTTTAGGCAATGTGCATTTTGTGTTTACGAAGCTTTTGCTCAGAAGCTACGAACCTAAATCCAAGCTCTGAACTGTTTACGAGGAGTGTGCTCATCAACAGCCGTTTCATCCCGTTTCCATTTACCAAGGCTTGCGGTACGATTGCTGCAGAGACTCTAGTTGTCGCGAAGCAATCTGAAGTTCCTTATTGTAAAATTAAATAGTATTGTGGGCCCACAACCTTATTCTAATTATTAAAGCTCCTACATTAGGGCCCGGACGATGCAGTAGCCTAGTTCGGTTAAGTGGGATTGTTCTTCTCGCAGCATCCCCACCCGCCCCAAACCCTAAACTAAACGAACTTTGTATATTCTTTATAAACACCACATGGGTATCACCTTAACTCCGGCCCTGGCACAGGCGATCGAGAAGTTGTGCCCGGACAAAGCCTCTCCACTGACCGGGCTTTCGGAAGTATCAGAGCGGAAAGTACCTTCAGTTCCATAATTCGTGGCGCAACTCAGCGTCTTTCCGTACTTTGGGGGCTCCGCTGGCTGGTGGTTGAAGGTCAGGAGATCTTGCCTAGTTCTGTTGTTGAGAGGAGCGAATCTCTATGAATCCTTTTTCGGTTGGTGATGAAAGGTGAGCGAATCTAGCAGATGTTCGCTTCTGAGTTATACGAATCCACCAAACAGAGATGTCCATTTCGCTCTGCAAGACGTAGCGTGTAACTTCTTCAGCGGTGTGATACCCCCGGAGCTTATTGTCATCTTCATAGATGCTGGACATGAACCGCCCCTTATAAGCATAACAGCCCAACCAGGCCGTCAAACCCACCACAACTCCAAACCTCACAGCACCCTAAACCCTCGAACCCCACAGCCCGAAGCTCCCATCCAGAAAAAAATCCGGCACTCAAAGCGCCAAACCCTTACCCTCCTAAAGCTCCCAAACCCTAGGCCCTATAAGCCCGTCAAGACTCTTACACTTCTAAGCCAGTGAAAAACCCTCGAGCTCTAAACGAAGCCATACCAGACCTGCCAAGCCAAGGCCCCTCAGTCCTAAAGAGTCGAAACCCCTGAGCCCCGAAGCCTCTATAAAGATGCATATTAGGGGCCTTAACGATTAGAATATAGGTTTTTTGTTTTTTTGTTGGGGGGGGGGGGGTATACTATACATTATTATTCTATAGTTATCACAAGGAACCCCAAAACCGAATAGGGTTTTGAGGTATATTATACTATAGTTATAATGAGGAACCCCCAAAACCCTATTGAAAATTATCAAGGCCCCTACATTTGAGCCCTCCGGCCACCGAGTTCGGACCTGAAGCCTTCCAGTGGTCGCTGTCGTTGATCACGAAGACTTCTGGTTGCAGTTCTTTAAATTCGGGTCCTTTTTGGGGTTCCTAAAGGGATCTGTTCTAAATTAGGGTCCTTTTGGGGTTCCTAAAGGGATTTGTTCTAAATTAGGGTCCTTGGTTGCAAAGCCGGGGCTTTGGGGTTTAGAAGGGTTGACGGTAGAGGATTTCGGGAACAGCAAATTTGGGTTTAGGAAAACAGGGGCTTAGGGTAAGGGTAGGCTTGGGATAGGAGTATGACTGTTGTTAAACGGTCTGGGGCTGCGTGCTTGATGCACGAAGGGTAGTTTTTTTTGCGGGTGTGAGCTCGTAGGGCTCTATCCCTAAACCCTCAACCGTGCGTGGCTTCGGTTTCGCCAGCCAGTGGGTTCGTTTCCGACCGTGAGCCCTTGAACTTTTGTGGATGAAGCTCGTGTTGTGTTCTGAGAAGGGTTCCCATAGTAGGCTTTAGGCCTCAGGCATGTAGAGGTATCTCTGGAGGTGAAGTGAGCGGTTCATTTTCGCGATCCGGCGCACCTTCAAGCGTGAAAAGGACCTTAACCCCAAAGAGCCTACGGTTTCTGTGAAGGACTTCTACAAGGAAGTCATCACAGAAACCTTCCCAACCCTACTAATAAAGCCAAAACCGGACACTTGATCTAGAAGCCAGGGGAATTGCCAATGCCACTCCTTCGTGTCCCCTAGTGAGTTCATATTAAAATTATGCTCCGAAAGCCTCATTGGAATTCTTAAGGCCCTTATATACGGTTGATGATATACATCCTGCAAACCCCCATAATAAGGAATATACCATAATTCTCATAGTTTAGGGTTCTTAAGGTAATGCAGGGTTCATATCATCCACAGTATCATCCTATGGGCTGGAGCTGAGGATTCTCACCCGGGTGATCCTCGAAGGCTCCACTTGCTGGTGCTTCTGTTTCCCATAAGGGGGTTTCCGAAAATAGGGGACCCTAATATAGTACCCCAAATAATAGGATCCTTATTATAAGGACCCCAAAATAAGGTACCCCTAATTTTCGGAAACTCCCATAATGGTCTACGTCTCCGGGCAGGGGGTGTGAGCCTTTGGTTCAGGGGACTTGGACGTTCTGAGTTCTCTGGGATCAGAGAGTAGAGTGAGCCCTAAATCCTTAGGGATGGTACTCCACCCATCATTATCGAGGATTCCAGCAGAGGGCCAAAGTACCCAGAAACCGGCTCTATGGTTGCGAAGACCCTTTGATTCACACGGGCTCAGATTAGGAAGAGGAGGGGCGTCTGGGAACAAAGCAGGGGTCCTTCTTTTCGTTGAGATCTTGTCCTGTGTCGATGATGTTGCTGTGGTCTTAAGGGCTTTGGTTTCGAGTTTTGAGGAAATTACATCCTACATATGCCATATGCTTTGAACTTTATTACCGAAATCAAAAAGTTGCCTTAGGCGTTTGAGCTTGACCAGAGCGCACCCCAAACCCTAATTCTAGCTGCACATGGCCCCTGCGCAAGGATGACACGCACAAATCGAGAAGCGTGTGGTTGTCAAAATTCTAGCCGTAACTATTTGCGAGTTCTGTTGACCTTGTTCGACGTTAGTCATCGGCTCTTCTTTTTCCCGAGGGCCAGGAGATCTCGCACATTTTGTCTTCTCTTCCTTACGGTCCGCATCTTTCTCTTGTTCCCATCTCCCCAGCAACCTTACCAACTCCAAGTAGTAGCACTTCACGAAGTCTCATGAACCTTTCGGTACCGTTCAGGGTTCACGGCTGGGATGTTGGATTCGTTTGGTTCTTGTAAACTAGGCCCTAAACTCCCCAAACCCTGATCCAGTCGAATGCTTTCAACTTTCAACCCTAAACCCTATAAACCCTAAAAAGAACGAGCCAAACCCTACAGAGCAAAAATCCTGATCCAGTCGAATGCTATCCCGGGGCCCGAAAAGCTATTCTGTACGAGCCTTATGCCGAATATTCGAAGCTCCGGTTCTGGAGCTGTCCGAGGCTTCTGACCTGAGTTTGAGGGGGAAGTTCTAGGGATGTGAATCCCAAAACTTGCTGTTTTAGGGATACATACCCGAGAGTTATGGGGACATAGCTTAGTAACGCTTAGTATGTTGATGTATGTTGTACAGCTAGATGCCTAGATGCCTAAACCTTAATGCCGTCCTTTTACAGGCTCCACAGTTGTGATGAAGGCGATCAACACCAACCAGGAGTCAGAGCTTCGGATGCAGATGCTGCTTCCCATGTTGTTTTAAGTGTTCCATGATCGCTTCCAGAAGCTGACAAGTGTCACTATAAGTATAAGGTTGCTGATTGCAAGGATTACGACAAGGCTGCTGTAAAGGCTTGATCACGGCTACTATGGCCAGGAATGTCTCAACCATCGCTTTTGTGGAGTTGTCCTTCGACGACCCTGTGTAACAAGGAACCGAAGTTGCCAAGAACCCTTCACCTCTAATCCCTTGATCGGCTCCAAATCCAAGCTTGGTTTCGAGCTTGGTGCCCAACCCCAAACCCTGAACCCCCTAGCGGTCCCATACCCTTACACACAGCCATAAAGCCAAATCTGACTGATAAATCTTTTCAAACACGGAGCCCAAATCCCTCTGGTTTGCATCCTTTTTCTGCTCCCATCCCGAGTGAAGTGGGCAATCAGCCAACTGAGTAGCGGTGTGGAAGTGCACAGGTTTATCGGCCACCTTGCACAAGGTGCCCATAGCTCTTGTCGGACAAGCGATCCTGCCAGAGTATGGCTGAGCCATGGGCCTGCGGCGGGTCGTCAGATGCCTAGCGCATCTGCTCCTCGGGGCGCTCTGGCGATTGGGGGCAGGCCAAGACGCCCGAGCTGGCTCGGGGTTTGGACCTCATGGTCGACTGGCCTTGGAGCTTGGTGCCGCGGACGACGGCCGGCATGGCTGGGCTGTGCACGTCGGGCGCTCCTTGAGTCACCGTCATCGTCGAGCTCGCCTGCGCGTGCAGCTGCCATCCGCCCCAGCTGCCTGGGACCCCCTCGCCGGCTTCTGCTCTCGGGCGCAGGTGCGGTGGAGGCGCCGCCGATATCCTTTCCTTGCACGCCGGCGCTGGAGTGGCTGGCCTCTGCGCGGCATGCGGGTGGGCGAGGCGTCTCATCCTGGCCCTAGCCTCACCCCATCGCCTGGAGCTCCTTTGGGCGGCGAGCGACCCGAGTTGATGGATCTGGACGGAGTTGCCGGCGCTAGAGCCCGATCCCCTGCTGGCGATGGCCGCCCTGCCCACA